GCTGTACTCGACACACCAAGAAGACTTCAGAATAAATTAAATATCAATGAAAATGGAAATAAAAGAGAGCGATTGAACTGCGATTAAGCATTCAATATTTCAGAATGGGAAAAAATCGAACAAAAAATATAGAAAATGCCAGGATGGAGGATTATATTAATCAGAATAAGTATCTAAGTACCTCGTATTAATAATAAGTATATAAGTTTTAATATGCAAAAATAGAGATTTTAATTTATTAATGTATACAATTTTTAATATAAATATAAGTAAATAATTATGAATTTATTAGTTTTATGAGAAATATAAAGTTTTTAATTGTTTTTTCTCAGTTTTTGGTATTAGACATATAATAAAAACTGTTCTTATATATACAAACCAATGAAAATGGTTCCAAAAAACTAAGAACAGAATGATTAAGAGTATTCCCTGCTGAGAATGTGTAACTTTGATGACCCCATGGACCCCATGGAACTCTTGCATCAACCCTTTTGCATATGCAATTGCCTCGTACTCGTACTCGTACATAAACAACAAGAGTGACAACAGTGCAACGAGGAGGAGGATGAGGTGCACACAAGACACACACACACACATACACACACCGATGTCACTCATTCGCTCATTCACTCAGTCGAAACTGTCAATGCTTGTTTCAATCTTTGTATATTGTGCTTTTGCCTGCAATTGTCAGCCAGGGCAAGGGCAGCATTACATTTGCTTGATTGAACTTCGCTAGCAGCGCCGACACACACCGCCACAGTCGCCACTTGGAGTAGTTGGAGTAGTCCCAGGTTCAGCTACTTGTCTGGCAGTCCAATCCAGTCCCGCTCGCTGGAACAGTTGACAGTCGAAAAAATGCTGGGGCTAACCTTACGGACTTACGGCCATAAAACTCTGATAGAGAGCCAGACGAGACCCAGAGACGGGAGACCATTAGAAGAGAGAGCCCAAAGGGCAAAGAGGCACCTGATACGGTTACCTATAACTGTAGCGTGTGGAGGGAGGAGACTCCTCCACGTACATGTCGCTAAATGCATAAACACCAGAGATCTCAGCCCTCGCCCCCTCAATCCACACACAAAACCCTGACCCACATTCCCGACACTGCCCCACTGTCAACTGTGTGGCGCAGCATTCAGTTAAAGTTACAGTTACAGTCACAGTCCCCCGTCACAGTTTTGTTTCAGTTTCTGTTTCAATTTCTGTTGCAGTTGCAGTTGCAGCTGCACTTACCAGTTACCCGTTAGAGTCCCTTTTTTGTGGCATTCTTTATGGTGGGTGCAATTTAAGGTGCACTCTTCATCAGCGTTGGTTTGGCTTGAAAAGTAAACTTGAAAAATATATATTTGCTTTATGTTCACTCGCTGGCTCTCGCTGCCTGTTCCGTTCCTTTGAGCCATCACTTAATCTGCCAACTTGATATAACAATGAAGCAAAATAGGAAAAGACGGATAAGTAGATCAACAATGAGATGGATAGAGAGTGCGAGTAGAGGGAGAGTGGATTAGGGGGGAACATAAATATATAAAGAATGATAGAGCTAGCAAATGGGAGTTGGAGTAGGGTGAGATATGCTAGAGAGCAAAGTAAGATCGGACTGGAATATGTGCCCCCTGTGGGCCAGGGGGTTGTAGGTTTTGATTGCTAATTTCTAATAGAATAAAATCTGAAGCAGATCGGTTTACCATTATGGTTATGCATTGTTTTATGGGAAATCTGGGACTATGCGAAGATTATTTTTTTAGGATGAGAGAAAGATCACAAAGAAATCCCCAAGACTGGCAGCAGGGAAGGCTTTTAGAATGGATTATTGGGAGAAAAACCAAGTACAATGATCCCTGCTTATGTATGTGCATACATACATTTATAAACTTCACTCCAGATTGAGATTTTTTCTCTTCTCCTAACTCCAACAATTTCGCTTCTTAATGTATAAAAATTTGTTGCCTCTTTTGGCTGTTTCTTCAATTTTCAACTGGGAGTTTTTATATACATATATTGCAGTAGTGACCCAAAGTAGAAGCATTCGTTTCAGTTTGTGAAGCGTATAGCTGTTGGGGCCAATTGACTGTGACAGCCACAAACAGAGACAGAAAGTGGGAAAAGGAGACACAGAGTGGGAGAAGGAGACACAGCGCAAGAGATGAAAGGGGGAAAATTGTAGTTTGTTGGGAGTTGGCGCAGTGTTATAGCGGGATGGGGGCGGGCAGATAGTTTTGTTTTCCATGGCAAACTTTTGCCCAGTCTCACATTTCAGTGAACTGTCGTCGCTCGCTCGACTGTTGTTCTTTCTAAGCATATCAATTAGGTTCGGCGTTGGCTTTTGGGGGGCTGTGGCTGTAGCTTTCGCTTTGCCTTGCCTTGCCACTGGTTAGTTGGCTCATCATTTGCATCCAAATTACCCTATCTCATAGCAAGCTCTCTCTCTTCCCCACAGCGGAGATGGAGGAGATTTGAAAGTCCGCTTTAGGGGAAGCGACAAAGTTTACAACTTTAAGCCAAATCACAGTATGAGAAAACAATTGTGAAACGCACAAAAGCTGAAATGTTTCCAGCCAAAAAGAAAACAAAAAAAATCCAACGGAAAAATCCAAGGGAAAAAAATACAACAAAAAAATTGTTCCAAAAATAAAACAAAAGTTTAACTCTTTTAAATTCATTTAAACGCTTTTAGCGCTTTTCACGCCCCTGACCAGGGTAGCTACTTGCTGCTGGTTCTCCTCTTGGCTCCCGGCTCCTGGCTCCAGTCGTCGTCGCCTTTATAGACATCCTGGCAAAGCGTGGCAAAGTTTTGTTTCGGCTTTGTTAACAAAAGGCACAAAAAGAAGGTAAAAACAAAAAAAAAAATGGATGGCGACGATGGATAAAAAAGTGGCAAAGTTTTCCCTCAAAGGCACAACACAGAGAAATAGCAGAAATAGCAGTATAATGCTGCCTGCACGACTGGAGTAAAGCGGCAAAGAGTTATAGATGCCCCTACAAAAAGGGGTATTATAAATAGAATTAGTTTTAGTGGCTCAATTGATCAATTTATTGCCACTTTACCCTTCGATTGTCTCATACTGGTTGCTGTTTATTGAATTTCTAAGCTGAATTTACTCGCTTTCTAACACTGGTTTGGGTTTTCAAATAAAGTGGCAACGCTGCTGCAGCATGAGCGAGCCAGCAAAAAGCTATAAATACCCTTTATAGAGGGATTTGGATTTTATTTATACATTATTATTTTCACTTTCTTAATTTATCAATTTAATGCAAGTTTCACCTTTCCTTTTTAGCTAAATGATAATTAAATTAACACGCTGTCCAACACTGATAAGTATTGGTTAAAACCTGATGGACATGTACATTTTCCATAACTTCTCTGACATTTCAACTGCTGTTTAACTTTTTCTAGAAATTAAACCATAAATATCTAAGACATTTTTAAAATTTTCCCTCCTTTGAATCCCTTAGGATAGAATGCCTTAACCTTGGGGGCAATGTTTGGTATCAAAAATGCCGGCCGCCATTCAGGCGAATGCGTGGCGCATGCCAATTGTGCAATTGCTGGAAAACTTCCACTTCTATTCTTTGCTTTGCTTGTTCCTGGCTAAAAACTTGTACGTTGCTGCTGCTCTGCTCTGCTCTGCTCTCGTATTTCCTCCACTTTTTACGCTTTCTGCCAAGCCGTAAACCGAGTTTTGTTGTGGCCTGCTGGGCTTTTGGGGCCCGCTGCTGTCTTGCGAGGTATAGGTGTTTGGCAATCATGAAGTTGCGGCTACAGCAGCCAAGTTTCAATTTACGGGATTGTGTGTGTGTGTGTGTGTGGGTCACCAGCAACCAACCACTCCACGGCCATTAGTCGCTTTGATCAAATATTTAAAGCTAATGAACAAGGTTGCCAGCAACAAAAAAAAAGAGAGAAGAGCAAAAGAAATCGAAACTAAAGCTCGAATGTTGGCAAAGGCCAGGCAAAGAGTTCAATCAACCTGACAAATTTCAATCAAGCTGTGGCCAAAAAAAAGTGCCACACAGCTCTCCCTCTCTCGGCTCTTGGCTGTCGTGTGCCCAGGTATCCCATACCCAATCCCCCATTCCCCATTCCCATTCCACAGTACAGATCCCACAAGCGGAGTCACGCCACAGTACAATTAGGATGCCGTTGAAGTTTTGTCAATGAATGGAAAGCGTCTGCAACTTTTATTTAACTTGTGTGAGGAGGCAGAGAGGCAGATACACATAGGACTAGTATAGGACTCCAGAGCTTGGTCAACACAATTGCCACACGTAGATGGGCAACGGAAGGAAGAGCAGCGGCTTTTGACTTTTGCACTCACGTGCACTCACAAACACACACACAAACACACATACATTTCTATGACTATTTACAGCAAAAACTTGTTATACTCTATTGAGCGTTGAAAGGGTACTTTGGTTTGGTGGATGGTTTAAAAATAATTTAAAATATGCAATCAAATATGGTAGATAAGCAGGAGATAAGTATTGCCAATTGGAAAGTGCTACCAATCAGCCAGTGCTACCAATCAGCCAGTGCTGCCATAAGCATTAAATGTGCATTAACAATACTAGAACAAGGCAGTGTTGGTCAGCTTATAAATTCTAAAAAAATAACAGAGAATGCTAAAGAAAAGCCTTTTACTGGCTGCTTAGTTCTGGGAATTAATTAGAACATTCAACATTTCCCCGTTCTTTTCTTCCACTACTAGTTGGCTTTACCTCGTTTATTTTTTTTTTTGCAGTACCTGCCCTTGTCATGGGCCCTAACTTAAATTGGTTCTGGCTTGTGGGGCTAACCACAGCTGCTGTGGTCAGGGCCTGCCACAACATTTCTCTCGGTGCACAGTCCAGTGCGATAAGAGCAACAGAGTAGCAACGGGGCTCAGCCTCGTTCGGTTTGCAGCTTCGTTCATTCATCAGCTGTCAGCATATCAAGCAGCCAACCCAACCCGTGCCTCATCGACTGACCCCGGACAAAGCCGCTGTGTCTCGTCCCCCTTCCCGGGTGTCTTCATGTGCTAATCAGTCGGTTCGATTCGATGTTTACACTTGCGACTAAGAGACTGAGAGATTGCTGCTACGATGAGCAGATGCCTCAATCAGTTGGACCGCCCAAGCCCTATTGAGAAGATGTTCAAGTGGTCGTCGTTGATTCTGTGTGTGTGCCTCGCGTGGGTGGTGGCTGCTGTGGATCCACTTTTGCCACTTAATGCCAAGGACTTTCAGCTGGACTTTCTGCGTGGACTGGCCGACCAGGCCGAACAGCGTGCGGCAATGAGTCTCAATGATTTTCTAACCCAGCTAGAGGGGAATTCACGTTACATCAACTACACGGCGGATCTGAGTGCGGCGAGAGCCAGCACAAAGCTGCAACCGAAAGTGACGCTCATCAAGCAGCTAATAGATGCCCATCACCATCCGGACACGAATCTGGAGCACATCTCTGTCCTGCGGAATCTAGTGTTTCTCAATCGACTGAAATCGCAGCTCAGGGCAGCCAGGGAGTCCAGCGCCCAGGAGATACGACAGCTGCGTCTGCATCGTCTGTGCCAGCAGTTCGATCGTCCCCGAGTTCCCGAGCCGAAGCATCAGCGGATCAATGATCAGACGGTGGGCGCGGCCCTGGAGCAGCTGAACCTCACGCGCGGTGAGGGAAACACCACCAGCATAGATCTCAATCAGTTTGGGCAGCAGCTCTACGAGCGAGTGAAGCTCTCGGGCGCTGAAATAATCGACAACTATCTGCTGATACTGCGCGGACTACTGCAGGACATTATCGAGTGCGAGCACGCGGATCTGGCGGACAGCACCCCCAAGCTGGACAACATGCTGCAGCAGCTGGACGGAATGCTGGCCACCCAGGACTTCTTCGAGAAGCGTCAGAAGGTTTATGGCTATCTGGAGCGTCACCTCACGACAGACTACGAGCAGCTAAGGGACACACCCAGTGCCGAGCAGCATCTGACGGAGAAACTGCTGGAGCAACTGAAAGCCAAGGGTCTCGATTTGTTTGTCATCTTTTTGTTTAGCAATTTTGAATTCTTGGAGCAGGTGCACGCGCAGTGGTCACTGCTGCTGCCCCAGACGCCCAGTCTGCTGTATGACGATACCTTGCGCCAGTTGTACGATCTGCAGCAGCTGTACGAGATCTTCAAGCTGGACACGGAGAGTGAGGCCAAGTACGAGGCCTATGCGGCGGCCCTGCGACAGCTGCACGAGCGCACTGTGGAGCAGGGACAGCGGAATCGTCACATATTTGAGCTGCTGTCCAATGCGGCACAGAATGTGGGCAGTGTTACCTTCAACATGATCAAGGCCAAGTGCCAGGAGTTGCTCTAGTACTGCTCTAGGTTTAGTTAGGATAAGACCAAAAAACCAGCAAGATTATCTAGCTCTAAATAAAAAAGTATTCTAACGAAAACAATCTGGGGGAAAAACGTTTCAGACGTTCAAGCAACAGGGATTGAAGTATCAAAGCGCTCTTTGATGCCATAAGATGTCTCTCTGATGCTGCAGCTGCTGCGGCTAGGATGTTTCTTCGTTCCACAACTTAATTATATTTTGCAATTCGTTGTTGCATCTGGCAGCTTTTAATATCCGTTGGGGAGTTGGCATCTCTCTTGGCATCTGTCGCATCGGATGTCGTTTAAATGGCCTCCTCCTCCCCATCCTCTCGTGCATGCACTTTGTGCTGAGGTTCTGAGGCTTCCTTTGCCGCATTATGCTGATGCCCCATTGCCCCGTTGTTGCTACAACTAGTGTTTGTTGTTTATCTATCCCATGGAATCCAAGTCCTGCTCTGCCCTGAATGGACCCCTCTTCGAGTGAGTTGGGGGGTGGGGAATACTGCCAAACTAATGACTGCTGCTGCCACTGTCGTTGGCCAAAGCCAGCTAATTAATTGTCGTCGTTGCAGGTGATTAGAACTTAAATGAGTTGCCGTTGCATCACGGAGCAGCAGCAGCATCCGGGACTGGACAGGACAGCAACATCAAGCGAGAAACGAGCCAACAAGGATAACGATACCAAAAACCAAAAACCCATAATGATGCTACCAACAATGTGCAGCTGACAGCCCATGGCTTTTACATGCCTCCAGCCCAGCCCAGCCCAGCCCAGCCCAGGCCAGCTCAGGACAGCCCAGGACAGCCCAGTCCGGGCTCTCGCTCTCGCTCTTGCCTGTCTGACATTTCATTCCGTGTATTGACTCAACAAAATGATTTCAAATTTGTGATTTCGGATTTTGGATGTGTCACAAGTGTCATAAGAGAATAAATGGCGCCACAGAAATTCTATTGCAAATGTCTGCAAAACGTTTTGCGTATTTAAAGTAAGGGAAATATGTGGCAACAAAGGGAATTAGTAAATGTAATTAACGATGAGAATTTAATGTTCAGACATAAGACACACAGACAGGAAGCTTTACAATTTTTTGGTTGAATAAAAAGCATTCGTTGGGCCAGAAATTTGTTGATAATTTCTTTGCTTTAACTAGAAATAAATGTGTTGACGAAAATGTATGATATAATAGGTGGCGTTAGCCCGCCAGACGTGTCAGACGTGGAGGCCAAATAAATCGTTCAACTAATCAACACGGCTAAAAGTAACTTAATATAAAAAAAAATGTATGATATTTGGTGTGTCTGGTGAAATATTTTTAAGCAATAAGTTAGCTAGCATTAAAAGTATAATAATGACACAAAACCCAACTTATAGAATTGATCTGTTTAATCGGCACTTTAAAGCAGCGTTCAGGCGCTTACCCCACGCTATTCCAATGCAAACACACACCCACAAAAATATATTGAGGGCAATACAAAAGCGACCTGTGTGTCCCACGAATCCCGCCTGCTATGCGCCCCCGCACAATTCCAATAGCACCGGAGAGTAGAGCTGCCAAGCTGCCAACCGTTTGCACAACATTTATCACCTTTAATGCACCAAACAGCAACAGTACCGGCAACAGCAACACCAGTGGGTCCCGGATGGGGCCTGAGTGGCGCTCATTCTCGAAACAAAAGGCAATATAAGAGGCGGCCAACGTTTACAAACGATACAAAAGCAGCAGCAGCAGCAACGGCAGCAACACCAAAGGCAACAACAATGCAACGAAATGCAATTTCACACTAGGCTAAACCGAATGCCAAACCGGACCTGGGATACTGGATCTCTCGAATGGGTATACTCCGGTACCGCCAACTGAGCCCCTGCTCCAAAAAAGAAAAGGCTCAAAAAAGGCGTAAGGCATAAAATTTAATTATGATTTATGGCTTTGCCTTTGGCAGACCTTTGGTTCGTATCAGAGACTCAAAACATTTAATGTCCAAATCGAATTTAACCTTGTATTCCCCTTGGATTTAATGCAGATATGAGAATGCCACTCAAAAGTCTTTATTGACAGTTTTTCGTGCTGTCAAAACGTCGGCCGAAAAATGGGAGGGCTTCCCTTTATTGCTCTTAATTTTTAAGTATTCCCATAAATCTTTATACCCAAAATTAGAACTATAAAAATCCACAGACACTCAATGGAAACATTTCCATTTATTTCTATTTATAGTGGGTGGAAAAACAGAAAGAAAAACCCATGGGCGGGGAAGCAGAACTAATTGAGTGACTGCCTTAATTACTTTTACTAATCCCGACACACACTCATCCCCTCCCCACCCTCTCTGTTTATCGTTGCAGTCATCAGCGAAGATCCCGAATTCACAGATGTCATTGAGAACATCACTGTACCCGCGGGGCGTAATGTCAAATTGGCCTGTTCGGTCAAGAATCTGGGCTCCTACAAGGTGAGTAGTCACTTGTGTATTTATTACGAAAATCATAATTAAACTCTGCCTCACAACTCTGGAATGGGGGGGCCCAAAATTTATTGGTTCTGGCAGCAAAATATACAACTTATTGGATATGGAAAATACTTACAGTAAAATTAGGATGGAATGAACTAAAAAGAAAAAAATATTTTGTGATAAATATAAAATTAGCAATGAAAATGTAAAAGAAATATTTAGATAGTTTTGTACATATATTTTAGGTTTCAAATACTATTTCTAGATATATATTTATATTAATATAATATTCATGGAATATTTATTTTGTATTAATATTATTTGCGTGGTATAATTATTTATATTATTTGGTTATAAGATTAGGATGGAATAAACTAAAAAGAAAAAAATATATTATGATAAATATAAAATTAGCAATAAATGTGTAAAAGTAAAATTTAGATAGTTTTGTACATACATATATTTTGGGTTCTAAGTACTATTTCTATATATATTTTATTTTTATATTTTATATTTTATTTTAATATTCATGGAATATTTATTTTTTATTAATTATTTACGCGTAGTATAATTATTTATATTATTGGGTTATATTATTACCGGTTAAATATTTTTGAGTTTTTTAAGCATTTTGTGCATAGTTTTGAGATTTGTTTCTGCACACTTCAGATGTGTACTTTGGTTTAATAAAAAGAGTTTTCACTGCCTTTTTGTATGAGTGTGCTGCCTGTAGTTGGTTTATGCCTATGCTGCACAAATATACACGCATTTCCACAAACTTGAGTCGGCTCCAGGGGCATTTGCAAGTGATGCAGGACAGAAGGACAAGAACAAACAAGTCCAAGGTTCTCTCTCTCTCTCACTGGACTCACTCTGGGATGACTAGCAACAGGCGCTCTATTGTTGACTCTGTCGCCCTTCCCCTCATTGTTACTCTCCCACTCGCCCACTCTCCCTCTCTCTCATCCCCTGTCTGCAACAACAAGTTCTGTCATGTTTGCCTTTTGCTTGGGCTAAAACAAAGTTGGTCAACGCCAGAATGGGGCAAAAACAACTCGAGAATTTTGTCTTCGTCTTTAATGAAGTAATTTGTGAGTCCCGGGAAACGAAATTCAAGTTGGTTGGGCCAAAAATTAATGGTTTTCCGGCATTCAAGGCACGACTAAAGCAATGAGAGAGAGAGAGAGCAAAAGAGGATGGAGCAGACAGACATAGTGGAGAAGATGAATGGGGAGATGGACTTTGGTCACTGGCTCATCGACTCTGCTCAATATTCATTGTCTGGTGCATACTTTTAGGCTGCGCTTGATATGCATAGCAGTCTGGCTATCTCTTTCACTCTCCCTCTCTCTCTGTCTCTTTCCTACCTCGTTATATATATGTGTGTGTGTGTGTGTGTGTGAGTGTCGGCAATTTAAATTTGCATCCAATTGAATTTCCATAATGTGCGTGCGACCGAAACGTGCATAAATTTCATTTTGACACGATGCTCCTTGTCTCTGCCTCCCTCTCTCTGTGTCTCTACTTTTTCCTGTTGCCATCTCTCTCTCCCTGTTCTTTCTGGCTCCCTCGCCGCATGTTATGTGGTGCTCGTAATAATTTTTATGACCCTTAAGTTTGGCATGCCCCAAAACCCCTTGGATCCCAGCGAAGCGCCCAGCCCCCTCTTAACCATTCATTCATTCAGCTCTCGCTCTCACTCTCTCAGTCTATCCTTGTCTATATATCTCTGTCTCTTGCTCTGCCACATTGGCCTCAGGTAAGCTCAAAAGTTAACCAGCAACGAAAACAACAAACGGCAGTACCGCTCGTAGCTGCAATAAAACGTGACTTTGCATGCAAAATAGTTGCGTAGCCCGACGGTTAAGACCAACCTATGTACTCCTCCTGCTGCTCTTGCTCCAGCTCATCTCCATCATCCTCGCTAACAGCCAGGTTACTTGGAATTGATTTTTATAGAGCAAGTAGAGCGGGGGTATGACTGCTTGCTTAGAGCCCTGGTCACAGATGGAGTGGATTTTCTATGGCATGACAATGATCAAGACAAGAGATTTTTTGAGCATTTTCATTATTGAAATCGGCAGAAATAGGAGAGATTTTTGGAGATTTTATTCATAAAGAATAAAATCGAATCTTTAAGCAAATATTAATCGTGTGTTAATTCTTTACTTTTTTCAAAAAGTTTTCTCTGCTTTACCTTCTGGGTGTAAGGGTGTAATTAGTGGAGATATAATAGCGGAAAAAGTTATATTCAGGAGCTTCAGTATTCCACGAATTTTCTTTTCTGTTCCAAATTCCCTTATATTATTATGAAATTTCTTTTTTTTCTTTATTTCTTTTTTTTAGCATTTATTCATTTTAAAAAATACATATATTCGTACTTCTAGTACTTCTTTCTCTCATTTCTCTTCTCTACACTGAAAGAGCATTCCCACTTCGTGATCGTGTGCTATTTAATTTATTTTTTTGTAATCTTTTTTTTCTCCATTTCCGTCTGTGCAAATATTTGAGCTGCGTGTAAATTAACTCGCGTAGTGCTGCGACGCTCCTTTTAACACGTTTACGCTTAAATTGTTAATATTAAGCGAGACGCTTTTCATTTGCCAAGAGCTCTAGCAACCCCCCCTTC